GCCCTCCACAGGGTGGTGGGTGCTTTGCTGCGTGGGGTGGAGCTGCCCTGACTTGGCCGCTCTCTCCTCCCGGGGCAGCGGTGAAGTTCGGCCGCATGTCCAAGAAGCAGCGGGACAGCCTCTACGCCGAGGTGCAGAAGCACCAGCAGAACCAGGAGCAGAGTGGAGGCACCAAGGATGAGCCTGAGCCCCTCAGCCGTGTCTACACCACCAGTGTCAGCAGTGGGCTCTCGGACCTGGACGACATCTCCACGCTGTCGGATGGGCTCCTCTTCGACTTACCCCTCACCCCCGACGGCAGCAGCACCTACTACAACCTCGACCTGCTGACCTCGGCGCAGCCCTCGCCCGACCAGTCCAGCCTGGACGTGGCTGATGCCACGCTCATCAAACAGGAGTCCATCTACGAGCTGATGCTGGAGCCAGCCCTGTTTGCGCACGGCGCGCTGGAGGGCGGCCAGCTGACCCCTGACATCTCTGTCCTTGAGATTGGTGAGCACCAGTGTGGTCCCAGCACGATGCTGGCACGTGTGGTGTCTGCAGCCCTGGAGATGGTGCTGCGTGCCACCCCAGCACCTTGCAGGACACATCCAGCTCTGGGTGCCTATGCCATACTGGGCACACTTTGAGCAACCTGAGCTAGTGGAAGGTGTTGGAAGGAGATGAGCTTTAAGGTCCCTCCAACCCAAACCAGTCTGTGATTCTGTATTGCTCTGACAGTGAGGGAGTGATGCGGCCTCACCTCCCAGAGCAGCCCCAAGCCCAGCCCTTCATCCAGGCTGAGCACTGATGGAGCTCAGTACACATAGTTGTGTGGGAGACACACACAACTGCCTTGGGGACAGCCCTCAAAGCCCCATCTCTCCTTACATCCCCACGGCACCACGCTGAGCCCCTCTTCCTCTCTAGCCCCCAGCCCCAGCAGCCCCCAGGACACGCGGGAGAGGACAGTATTGGGGTGTGGGGACAGGGGATCCGACAGGGTCTCCAGGGCTCACCTCCCCTGTCCCCACCTTGCAGACCGGGTGGCCCAGAACGTGGTGAAGTCGCACCTGGAGACGTGCCAGTACACAACGGAGGAGCTCAAGCGCCTGGCGTGGAGCCTCTACTCCCCTGAGGAGGTCCGTGCCCTGCAGAGCAAGGTGAGTGCCCCAGCCCCCTACCCTGTCCAGAGCTGTGGCAGCCCTTGGCAAGGGCCACCGTGTCCCGCGGGGCTGCTCCGAGGTGGGGATGAAGGCAAGGAGGGTGAGGAGAGTCTTTTGGTGCTTCGGGAGCTGCAAAAATGCAGTACTGGGAGGAAGGTGCAGTGGCAGGTCACATCCTGTGTGTCTCTCCTGTGGGTGGCACAGCACCAGGGTTTCTTCCCTGCCCCACAGCGTGGCAGGGGGGAGCAGCAGAGCCCTGAGCACTGTCCCTGCTGTGCCACAGAGCTGCGAGGCCATGTGGCAGCAGTGCTCGCTGCAGATCTCCAATGCCATCCAGTACGTGGTGGAGTTCGCCAAGCGCATCGATGGCTTCATGGAGCTCTGCCAGAACGACCAGATCATCCTCCTGAAAGCCGGTGAGAGAGAGGAGCCCCACCACCTCCATCACACCCCTGCCATCCTCCTCGTGTCCCCACTGTCCCCCTCGTGTCCCCAAAACCTCTTCTGAGCTGCAGCTCCAGTGCCAAAGGCATATCCCATCTTTTCTCCTGGCTATTGCTTTCCTTCTGGGGTCTCCCCTCCCTCACTGCCCCAGTTCTCCCAGTGCTGGGGGAGCAGGTGCTGGGCTGAAAGGAGCTGAAGGTCATGTTTAAGGGCAATGGTGTAGGAGGGGATGTGGGGAGTGGCTGCCTGGGGCAGAGACTTTTCTCCATGCTTGTCCTCATCCAAATGTCACCCAGAAACTGGGATGGAAATGAGCACAGTGTTTTCCCTTGGGAAAAGAGGTGTCAAACTCAAAGGGGAGGAGGGAAGGAGAAGAGAAAAGGATTGGCCTCTTCTCCCAGCAAGAGACCAGGAAGAGGATGATGACACCCACCCACGTCCCCCACCTGTCTGCCCGAGTCAGTGATGCCATGCTGAGACCAGGGAGCTGCGTGCGCAAAAGCCCCGAAATGCTAAAAATGATGAAGTCTCCCAGTTCCTAATCTGTCAGGACTGGGGAGCTGAGAGCCCCTCCCAGCACCGGGGACGTGTGCCAGCGTCCTGGCAGGATGCTGTACCCTGAAGCCAGAGCTGGCCGTGCCTGATGTGCGGAGTTTAACTCATTCTTTCATGTCTTCCTTCCATTTTCTTTTTGTTTATTTTGTTTTCACCCTCTCCTCTCGGTGCTCCACCATGCCCTCGATCTCTCTGTGCCTGGCTATGAATGACTGGATAATATTTCCCTTTGATGAAATATTGTGGTCACAATTGGAAACCTAAAAACACCAACCAATCCCAAAACCCAACCTGGATTTGTTCGAATAACCATTCTGCTCTCGGGAATGAACAATCTGGACTTCAAACGTGCACTGGGGGCTTTCCTCTGTCTTACACTTGGTCCTGGGATGATGGAAACCCCCTGCCCTCCCCTGCCCTGCCCTGCCCTCGTCTGCGCTCTCTCTGCCTACATCAGGTTGCCTCGAGGTGCTCCTGATCCGCATGATCCGTGCGTTCAACCCCTTGAACAACACCATCCTCTTCGAGGGGAAGTTCGGCGGCGTGCAGATGTTCAAGTCGCTCGGTAAGAGCTGCTTCGCTGTGCCTCCCTCAGGGCT